TACGTCCATCCTGGGGAGCTTCATGTGTCTGCCTCAGAGCGCAGAGCTATCGTGTCTCTCCGGGAGCAGAGCAGAGTCTGACCTCACTTCCTCTTCCTCCTGTTTACTCCTCCCATCTATCTTTTAACCTATCAGGGCCAAGGAGTTCCTTTATTGCTTAACCAATGAAATCAACAGATTGATATATGACACTCCCACATCACCCCCCAAAAGTCAAAAGAATAAAACGTCACACTACAAAATCCTGTCTTGAATCCCCCTCTCCCACAAAAAATAAACACTTGTGAAAAGACCATAATCAGTTCAAGAGTAACGAGCACTGGGGTGCTCAATTGGAGTTGTCCCCCCCTTTTCTTTTTGACATGGGCCTTCTTTGAATACTTTTTTGGGGTGTTTGTTGTTGTTTTTCAAGATAGGGTTTCTCTGTGTAGCCCTGGTTGTCCTGGAACTTGCTCTGGAGACCAGGTTGGCCTTGAACTCGAGATTCCCTCTGCCTACAGGATGCTGGGATTTAAGGTGTTACAGGTGGCTATGGGCTGCCACTCTGTGGGTACTGGGAATGGAACCAGGGTCCTCTGTAAGGTGAGTGCTCGCATGCACCCATCCATCTTTCCTGACCCCCATGTGCAATTAAAGAAAAAGCTGACTGGCTTGATCAGATTCCAAAAACAGAAGGTCCACGTGCCAGTTTTACTCCGGGCTGTGGCACGGTGAAGTACACTTTCCAGCATCCCCGAAGCAGGGCGGGCACGTGGCTCCGTTTGTTTTAGGGGATGTGGTGAGAGTTCAAGACTTTGAAGAACTCTTACTGGAGCAAGCACATTTTCATCTTCATTATTCCCTTTATCCAGCAACCTGGAAGCTGAGATGTGGTTTCGGAAGCTCTAGCTGCCGTCTTGGACTTTGAAATGACCTTACAAGTACATGGAAGTGAAAGCAAGGATGGAAGGGTGCTTGGCGGAAAGATGGGGCCCGAATATTCATTTCCTTCTTTCACTGTCACTGTGGTTCGGGGTTCAGGATTCAGACCTCTCCTAAGGCCTGGCTCTAGCTGTCTAGGCCTGGGGACCGGCTTGCATGCCCAGACATGGTGTTGGCATCCCAGGATTTTGACAGCGGTTGGTTGGAGCCTCCCTACGGAGAGGGCAGTTGGGGCGCAGAGTAACCGTGGTCACGATTTCAGTCTTACTACAGAACGCCCACAAGGGTTTTCTTGCTCCTGCTCCCGTGCCTTGGTCCTCTGGCTCCGCGGGGCCCGACAGTTTGCAGAGAGCACGCATGTCATCACACCGCGGGGACAGTAGCTCTCTGCCATCAGTCCTGCTGTCCCTCGCGGGGCGCGGAGCAGGGAGCTGAACGAGCCCCGCGCGCCCCCTGGTGGCCAAGTCGAGGAGGGCTTCGGCGCCTTGCAGGTGGCACCTCCGCAGCTCTGGGGTCACGGCGTCTGCCCCCACTGGAGCCCGCTGCTGCCATCATCATAGACTTTCCAGCGTGGCGGAACCTCTGTGTCCTCCGAGCCTGGAAGTCACCTCCCTCCAGGTCTGCACCTGCCGCGGGGACAGACAGGTGAGGCCCATAAACCTCCCATCCTCAACCCAATGCCCAAGCTTCCTGTCCCCCTGCCTGCTGCTTCCACATCCCCTAGCGAAGCTGTTCCTGAGCTCTGAAATTTGCTTTCTAAAAACAAAACAAAACAAAAACAAAACAAAACAAACAAACAAACAACAAACAAAAAAACCCTGCAGCAGGCAGAGGAGGCTTCCAGGACCGTGACTCTGTCCAACAGTGGGTGGGTGGGAGGCACTTGAGGGTAACTGGGCATAACCCCCAACACAACCACACCTCGTGCTCTCTCTTTCTGGGATAACAGTGCATTTATTTTTTTAATTGTACATAATTTTAGTTAGTTAGATCTTAAAACAAACACTGTACATTTTTCTGCAAAACAACTTATTTATGGTAAAACACTTAACAAAACTCTGGGAGGCAGAAGCAGGGGGATCTCTGTGAGTTCAAGGCCAGTCTGGTCTATAGGGCGAGCTCCAGGACAGCCAAGGCTACACAGAAAAACCCTGTCTTGAAAAAGAAGCAACAAAAATTTAGGCGTTTTATTTCACGCATGAGCGCCTTTGCCTGCTTGTATGTAGGTATTCTACCACTGAGCTACATCTCCTATCCCTACAGCTGATGCTTTTTCTGTCTCTACTGAAGACCTCAGAAATACACAGTGGAAATTGGGTGTACTGGGGTTGAAGTCCTGACTCTCAGATCTGGACCCGGCCTATGGGGCTGACACCTGGGCAGGTTAACCATGATGTACCTGGTTGGGTCCCGGATGACAGGAGGCTCTGGTGGGTGCTGGCCACCAACTCTGCACTTGGAACAGCATGAGTTCAATAGGCTTACAATGCCGGAAGCCCTAGGACCCAACATGGTACCACTGTCTCAGCTATAGCCAGCAAGATGGAGGCCTGGCCTGATCGCTGGAGCGCTCCCAGTGGGATCTCTTAGAGCAGAGCTTTCGGCATCCAGGATCTTACAGTGGTTCTCAATCTTCCTAATGCTGCAGCCCCCAACCATAAAATATTTTCATTGCTACTTCATACCCAATTTTGCTGCTATTATGAATCATAATGTAAATGTTTCCCGATGGCCTTAGGTTATCCCATAAAGGGTCACGACCCACAGGTTGAGAACTGCCCTAGAGGAAGGCATGGCAAGGCATATCTTTCTGATGCTATCAGCAGAGAACTCTTGAAATCTGCACAAGGGTTTTTTGGTTTATTTCTGTTTTGTTTTGTTGAGACAGGGTCTCACTACGCCCCTGGTTGGCCTTGGAACTCTGTGTACAGCAGGCTGGCCTTGGGCTGAGATCCACCGGCTTCTTCCTACTGAATGGAGGATTAAAGGAATTTCCCATCATTCTGGCCCAGAAGAGCATTTTTAAAAAAGCATCATTCAGTCAGGCAGTGGTGGGTGCACACCTTTAATCCCAGCACTTGGGCGGAAGAGGCAGGCGGATCTCTGTGAGTTCAAGGCCACCCTGGACTAAAAGAGCTAGTTTTAGGATAGCAAAGACTGTTACATGGAGAAACCCTGTCTTAAAAAAAAATTATTCTGGGGTTAGAGAAATGACTCAGAAGTTAAGAGCACTGGCAGCTCTTCCAGAGGTCCTGAGTTCAATTCCCAGCAGCCACATGGTGGCTCACAACCATCTGTAATGGCATACCTGGAGGCAGAACACTATAATAAATAAATCTTTAAAAGGGGGGTACATCATTCTGCTGGGTAGTGCTGGTGGTACACACCTTTAATCCCAGCATTTGGGAGGCAGAAGCAGAGGGGCAAAGGCAGGGAGGGCTCTGTGATTTCGAGGCCAGCCTGGTCTTCAGAGCTAGTTCCAGGATAGCCAGAGCTACAGAGAAACTGTTCTCAAAAACAAAACAAGAACAAAATCCCCCATTATTCCACCTTTCCAAATGCATATCCGTGGTCATTACAAAAACAGATGCCAGGCTGCCTGCAGGAGCTGGGGCTGTCTGCCCTAGGTTGGTTGGCCATGGTGGCAGGGTCCTAGAAAGGTCACACTTTATCTGCCACCTAGCACTTTCTGACTTATGACAATAGGGTATTCCAAGTACCACTTTGTCCCTGCCACTTCTTAGGGCCTCACACAAGCGCCAGAGAGTTCTTAGGAACCAGGAGATGCCATGTTTAAAAATATCCATCACCACAGATAGGCGAGCAGCCCTGAACTAGTGGGAAGACTCCTCTGAGTGACTTCATCTCTAAAGAGCCAGATAACCTTTCTGTCCCAGTGGTTATAGCTCTGGGGGTCAGGCCTCAGCCACACGGGCTGTCTTTATCAAGGTGACTATTTGGTGGCTCCAGTTGTGCAGGTCCTAAGTTGTCTCTTCCTTCTCTGGCGGGGATGAACACCTCGAGATCCAAGGTTAAACCGGTCAGTGGTGGCGCACACCTTTATTCCCAGTACTCAGGAGGCAGAGGCAGGTGGATCTCTGTGAGTTTGAGGCCAGCCCAGTCTACAAGAGCTAGTTCCAGGCCAGGCTCCAAAGCTACAGAGAAACCCTGTTTCGAAAAACCAAAAAAAAAAAAAAAAAAA